GCCGCTTCGAGCGCCGGCAGGGGGCGCCAGCGGCGGCCGCGTCGCGCAAGCGTCCGGTGCGCGTCCCGAGCGCGTTTCCGCGCAGCGCGGACGCGGCGGCGCTGATGCGAGCGCTGATTGATGACGCGGAGCTGTCGCTGCCGGCGGCGCGCGTTCCCGTGTCCAGCCTCGCGCACGCCATCACCGAGGAAGCTTCCTGCTCCGGCTCCGAGAATGACCGCAGGACCAGGTCTAAGGATGACCGGAAAATGAAGGCAAAGTCGGAGAATGACTGGATAAAGACGGAGAATGACCGCAGGACCAGGTTTAAGGATGACCGGAAAATGAAGGCAAAGTCGGAGAATGACTGGATAAAGACGGAGAATGACCGGATAAAGACGGAGAATGACCGGATGAAGAGGTCATCAGAGAATGTCCGGAAAATTAAGTCAGAGAATGACAGGAAGACAAGCTCCCAGGATGACAGGATAAAGGGGTCGGAGGCTGACCGGAAATCGAGGACAAATTCAGAGAATGACAGGAAGACAAAGACACGGTCGGATAGTGACCGCAGGAGTAGGTCCGCGGATGACTGGAAGAGAAGGTCGGCGGATGAGCGTAGGATGAGGTCGGAGGCGGCGCGTGAGATCAGACGTGCCGCGAGCGTGCGCGCGGGGCTCAACCCTCCGCCGCCCCCGCCACCGCTGCTCGTCAGACGCAGCGTCTCCCTCTGTACAACAGCCGCCGACGTGGCCGGCCGCACGACGCCCGCGCGTCGCCACGGCAACCTCCCTGTCGGACGGTCCCCGCTGAAGGTCATCAACAGCGAGGAGCGCGGTGACGGCGGGCGAGCGGCAGGGAAGCGGGAGCGCCGCGCGACTGACGCGTGCCGAGTCACGCCCAGCCCGTCGCCGCGGCGACGACGGGGCGGCGGCCTCCCCACGCCAAGCCCCTCCCCGCACAGAAGCCACAAGCTGAAGCCCGTGAAGCGTCTCCGCGGCGACCGTCTCCGCTCGCCGTACAGGGATGCCGCTGCCACCAGCGAATCGCCGCGCACCAAGTACCGCTCGTCGCCGCGGCACCCGGGAAGCAGCAGCGGCAGGACCCCGCGGATCTACAATGGCGGCGGCCGGGCCCTGGATGTGTAGCAGTCGACGGCGGACCGGCAAGTTTGCTTTTATTCGTGTCCTCCGGAGAACGATACGACGCGACGATTTTCGCGTTTCATCGCAGAAGCCTGTTGTCATTGTGTCAGGCAGCCTGGATCTCGGATCACGTCTTGGAAAGAACTGGTTTTTTGATCGGTCATGTGTTCCTGTTTCACGAAATGCGTGCGTCGCTAGTATTAATTACGTTAATTAACTTTGTAAGCGATTAAGTGGGAATGTCACCATTGATGTCGCACATTACCTGTGTATTCACGTTGATTGCGTATCCATGTCTTCCTGCTTATGTTGTCCCAGTAATTAGACATGAACATGTTAATTACCCAAGCAATTATCTTAAATTTTGAAATGTGTATTTGTTCTCTGTGTCAGCGTAATTATTATAGTATAGAAGTCAACATTTAATGTTTAGTTCAGTGTCATTCTGATGCTTTTCTTAGCCCTTGGCCATTCCTGTAAAAGTTTCATACGTTTAGACAAACTCGTGGCTTCAAAAACCAATTATATTTTGGTATCCATAATATGCCATTTAACCGCATTGATTACTGCATTATTAGGTCATTCTATTTACAAAAATACAAGAATTCGTAATTGCGGGCAGATCTAGAGTATTGATGTGATAGTAGGTGCAATATGGCAATTGACTGCCTGTGCGTGAGTTGTGTTAAGTCATGGCACTTACTTTTCTTTTTGTTCTTGTCAAAATATGGCATCTTCGAATTCCTTGCGATACTGAATTTGTTTAGACAGAGCTTATAATGATCATAATAAGCTCTTTGTTCAGACGTCAATGTCACCGATTTCTTTGTGTACAGACTTAGCTTTGATGGCTAGTATACGTAAACCAGTGCACGGTGCTGGAACTTGTATGGATAAATTTCTACAGCAGTTATTATGTTGAGATGAACGTGGAACTGTAGAACCATAAGGCAAGTACAACTGGTATGTTGGTAAACGTTGTTATCAGTGTATTATGTTAGCTTATAGTGAATCCATATATTTTAATAGAGTATTGTAAAAGCTTGCACCTCAGATGTCTTAATCTGAGATTGACCTTTGTAGCTGAAGTTAGTGTTTAACTGAAGTTGTTGGTAGTGTAGTGTAATTGTCCAACACGCTATAATTAGATCGCAGATATTTGTCTTATAATGTAAATATGAGTCAATGCTATTTCATTTCTCAATCTTTTTTTTTGTCAGTGGTATTGGCAATCATTAGCATTGATTTTTCATGATTCATTTTTTTACAATCTTCTTCCTCTTTCTCCTACGGATCCTTATAACAGCCTGCCTCTTGTAGTCGTATTTCTCCAGTTCATAAATATACAAGAATATATTGTTTAATAATAAGGTCGTGCAGCTCTATAATTTGGCAAGGTAAAATTATGTGGAGCATGTAGAAATACACTTCTGGTGAGTGAACCTTGTGATATAAGTGATGTATGATTTTGTACATGTATGCAACTGAATTCACATCAACTCACTACTAGACAGAAAGCGTGTTCACCTTTTTTTCGATCTTTTTACGTGTACTTTATTTAGATATACACAAATGACTCCACGGCGGCAAATTTCTCCACATCTGGGTTTTATGAGAAGCTAGACCGGTTATAAGAAGTAGTATAGCAATCGTTACTATTGCCGGGTGGCAGCACGGCTACGATACTATAACAAGTATAACGACTACATACCAAGAGATCATGCCAAATAGGAATGTAACTCAAGATCAACATTTAAACAGTACTGCACAAAACGTGCATCACATCATCGTTCACATCAGCAGTATAATGTTGATTAACTGATGTGCACGTCAACAACGAGTATGGTTTCCGGGAGATTCGCGCACGCGTAAAATCGTTGCCTGACGTAGTTTAGATCAATATGGGAGTTTGAATAGTGAGATGAAGAAAAAGGAACGTGTGCACGGTACACTGGACAGCACATCACCCACAGGTCACAACGATGTCCCCACGTCTGCCTGAACACATAGAAACAGTCTATAAATGCAAACACACTCTAATAGTCTATACGGTCACCTAGCGTGCATAACGCCAGCGGTAGCAGTCGCGCAACGGGCGAGAAGTCGTATTACGTTTCTCAACCTACAAAGTACAATGTCGACTGCTCCGGAGCATATATACACGAGCCCAACAACACCTAACACCAGAAGAAATTCACGAGATATTCCCCCCCCCCCCAATATATTTACGATAAGGCGATTACAATACTTACGGTTGCAGTTGAACAAACGTCGAGATTAGTACCACAAAGTATTAAGAATTCTGACAACATTATAACGCTGTAAAACACTTTCATACAGATTGCTAGTGCACGCATTAAAGGCAGAAAAGTACAAGCAAAAAAACCAAGTAGACAGACACTACATCTACAATTGACGGGCCCACTACATGTAGATACCTATGCAAGTTATCGCTATCTGATACACTTTTGTGACTAAGTAGATCTCTACTTACTCAAATTATTGCTAGCGACTTAAACGAGAAATATATCAAAGCATTTATATGATTAGTCTGTACCTACGCTTTGCACTTATTATAGCAGAAAATATGCCGGGACACAGGTTACTGCTTTTCAGCGCTTTACAGTTACTACTCCGATTTAAAGCTGCCACAAGCCGGTATATATTAACTTTTTCATCTATGCATCTCCAAATTTACTAAACTCAATCATCAAATCATTACCCTTGTGGTTATTTTTGCAGTATATATAAGATCATCAGTAATAACATCTTGATACATGTATTATAATTCAGAAGTGTTTTGCATTTGTAATCGACTTGCGGCAGCTTTAAGGTAAAATGTAAGATTTTGCAACCATGGCGCTGTCTCTGTGTAAATAGCTCCCAGGTGTACTGTATTAGATCATAGGCTTGATACTCGAATTTTATCTTTCTCTCATCAATATCATAATTTGCTTCACTATAACTCTATCTACCCTTTGCTTTCCCAAGAGCTCTCTAGTGATGATAACACAGTCAGTCACACATGGTGTATATATTGTCTACAGAGTCATTTTATACTTTTTTTACATAAGACACTCTGTAATGTATACTATTAGTATTACACGTATAAAATTAGGCACACAACTACAATCAGTGCATGCATGCGTCAAACAACATAGCCACCATTACCATATATACCAAGAGCTCATAATAGAGAAGAGTATGACACCGTTTTAACAGCGTTTTGCATAGTTTTCAACTTGTAAATATTCTATCAATATGTGAATAAATATATTAAAACTACCATGTTTTCGTCTATGATTCTCCCTTAATCATAATTATGACACCACCAATTTACCTGAAAATCGTATGTGTTCTTCAAAAAAGTTCTTTGAATACGACACATTTTCACACAGTTTTCCCAAATCTTCGCATGTATTTGGCGCATGTTGATAGCACCAGGTTGTAACTACGGGACGCTGGGGGCTGTTGGGGATATTAGGTAAGCACAGTAACAGCACTTGTTTTGCTTCCTTATCATCAGGAACACGATGGAAACACAGCTAAAATCAGCTGCTAGCTCGCCGTGAGCACACATTTATTTCTAGCACACTGGAAACGCTACACGCTGAATACAACTCGATGCCTAATATCCCCAACAGCCCCCAGCATTCCGTCATAGACAATAGAACACTAATCTGATAATAAACTCACGCCGAATACATGCAAACATTTGGGAAAACTGTGTGAAACCGTGTCGTATTCAAAGAACTTTTTTGAAGAACACATACGATTTTCAGGTAAATTGGTGGTGTCATATGATTAAGGGCGAATCATAGACGAAAACAAGGTAAAGTTTGAATATATTTATTCACATATTGATAGAATATTTACAAGTTGAAAACGCTGTTAAAACGGTGTCATACTCTTCTCTATTATGAGCTCTTGATATACACATACACACACATCTCTATGTGGCACTTTCCAACAGGTGTTAGACTGTTAGGAACTGTTCCTGGATGCGTGACGCCACTACTAATACACGCACATACGGCTACACAAATAACTTTGTAATAAGTACTGTACTGATGTTTACCGTTGGATTATGGGTGATGGGCTGTCCAATAGCCGTGCACGTGGCTACACACGCAACTCTCACTAGAATACGCTTACGAAACAGGTAGATGGACACTGGATTAGAAGCACGGGTACACCTAAACTAGGGATGCGAAAATTTAACAATATATATTACACCTCATTTACACCTGTACGACATGCACAACGATTTTCAATAAAGGAAGCGAATCGTGGCAGGGGAGCCACTACGGAACCACACGCAGGAATTTACCCAGCATATCAGGCTACTAGCTCTCCCTGCGTACCAACGCCTCACGATCTCAAACCCTCCCGCGCCTAAATTTCAACCACCGTTTACCGCGCGAAGTCCTTTCGCCGCCGGCTGTCATCCTAAATGCCCGAACGAAAATGCAGCTCGCGTCGCGCTGGGGTAGATGTGCGCCGCAGCGTTATTCTAGCGAGTTGAGCATGAGAAGCTGTTTGAGAACTTTCGTCTGACTCGTCTCGCGTATCTCGCCCGCCAGGAACATCTCATCGACGACGCTGTAGACCTGAGGACGACAAGAGAACGCCAACGATAAAAATCATTACAGCATTCGGTTGAAAATACATCTCATAATACCAAGAGCTAATAATACCTAGAGTGTACAACGGAAAAACGGGAAAATAGTGCTATTTCACGACAACATTATTCTACTTTGCCTGCGAGTCTATAATAATTTCATGGTATTGCATTAAGCAGAATTCTTTGCTCTCTAAT